TCAGTGTACATTACTCTATTGTTCCTAATACTCCAAATCAAGGGACCTCTGAAGGTGTATTTGGTTAAATGTAAGACATCTGGCATCATTTGCAGCACTGTAACACCTTCAGTCTCAGTTGTGCAATTACTTCTGTTTCTTTAGTCAGGGTCTTTGCAGATTCCAAAGTTATATAAGAATACATCAAAGTGGACAAATTTTGTTAAGATCTCATTTAATATTTGAAGAAATCAGTAACACAAATATATTTTGATTGTTGCTTACAAAATAAAGTACATTTACAATCTATGTCTCCTGAGGTCTTTTTGGCACTGGGTGGAATTGACAGAATAACATTTGACAGTGCTTTAGAAATTTCATACTAAGATATGCTTCCCTGTGCATTTTAAGATTTTATAACACATAAAACATCAATGTGATAACAAAACATCTGAGTGGCTACCTCATTAGTGGGTAATGCAGAAAAATGCTGACATCTTTCATTTAAAGGATTTGTCACAAGTTAATTTTGTATAAACAATATATCTTGTTAACATACAGTCAGGATCTCAGAAGAGTGCAATTGAAGAAGGGGCAATTTTGATGTAAACTATCATTTTTTTTTAAAAAAAAAAGAGTACAATCCACCAATCATGTTGAGATTGTGTGGGAATTGCCTGCTGCAAATTCCACTGGACATAGAAAGTGTACTGTATAATGTCTTCAGAAATGAGAAAAGTAGCCCAGCCAGTGCGGCCCAGTGGTTAAGCATCACCCTATGAACCAGTAGGTCACATTTCGATTCCCCATCAGGGCACATGCCTGGGTTGCGGGTTTGATTCCCAGTGTAGGGCATGCAGGAGGCAGCTGATCAGTGATTCTCTCTCATCGTTGATGTTTCTATCTCTCCCTTTCCCTTCCTCTCTGAAATCAATAAAAATATTTAAAAAAGAGAAAACTAGCCATAATGTGAATTTAATATAATGAGCACATAAGCAATAATTTTGTTACTGTTATCTCTCCTCTTTCTGTAACTTAGAAGTACTCAGTTTTCTGTTAAAGACAAAAATTTGACTAATGGCAGTTTTTGTAGATGACCTTATCCCACAACCTGCTTCTAACCTGATGATGTTCATAAGTTCAGCCCCAAATACTCATGGTACAGCACCATACTGGGTATCCCAAAGGGTGTTGGCAAAACATATGGAGACAAAGATTTAAGTCTTATTTGTACCTTCATGAAAATATGGCAAAAATGTTTAAAGGAGGTTTTACTTGGGCACTTAGGAGTTAGACTTAGCCTCTACTAGGGGTGGCATGGACGAAGAGGTAGGTAGAATTCTTGTCCTATTTGAACAATTCCAGGCTCTTACTGCTTGCCTAATGAAAAGTTAGCAGAAACTAAAAGTGGAAGTGTCTTAAATTTCCATTATATTTTGCAGTCTCTTTGGTGGAATAAGATAATTCTGAACATTTCTTGCTTTTCCTGTAGTTTCTTCTTTTAAATATGATGGTAGTATATTTTATGTAGGACATGTAATATGTATTAATTTGTTGGCATACAACTAATCATTTGTAATTAAAATATAAATGGAAGTTTTCCTTTTGCCTAATGTAAACTTGTGTGTGACCTATTTTTTTGGATACGTGATTTTTTTCCTTTACATAAATAAGGTTCTATGACTTATTTCACAATACTGTTCATTAGAGCTAGTCAGATTTTTTTTTTTTTTTTTGTACAGTATGCCCTCAGAAGAAGGCCTCAGTAATGCAATGGCTATTCTCAACATTCTGTTTGGAAATTTTTTTTTTTTTTGGTTCCACTTAAGCCCCCTGAAAATACCTCCTGAGTGAGTGTGGTGACTGAGAAAGCTTACACGAGTCTTGTCTTTTTCCCTCTTATGTGATCACCTCATCTTCCTGGGCTCTCCACAGCCACATACCACTTTCTCTCACTTGGTTCATGTTGGAGACATTCCCAATTTCAAAACAACATCAGAATCCCTTCCCTATCCCAAACCTACATTTTCTTTGTAGATTAGGATGCCCGAAAAAGAAGCTCATTGAATACACCTTTGTCTCTGAATGTATTGCTCTTTTAGCAGCATTATGATGGCACAGGCCCTTAGGCATTGAAATGACTTATTGAATCACAAGTTCAACGAGCCACTTTTCAGGTGTGCGTGTGCTTGTGTGACCTTCTTTACACGTGTACTAAACATTAACGTAGCACCAGAACAAAAAGTCTTGCTTTACTCTTAGACTAGTATGGGGGGGCATTGAAAGTTCCAGCCTCACTGTTCAGTGTGATCTGCCTGGAACAGGAACACCTGAGCCCTCTGGAAGCTGCTTATATATACAGAATCCAGGCCCCACTCCAGACCTGAATCTTGGCATGGTTCATATGCAATTTAAAGTTTGCACTGCTCTGCATAAATATGGCTCAAAAGCAGGTGTGCTGATCCTGGGGCAAGCCTTAGTTTTCCTTCTTGAGTGTATATAAATTCAAGGCATAGCCTGTATGTGAGGAATCACTGAATTTCGTACTGATAAAGTGAGTGTACATTGTCTCCTAATTCTGAGGGACGTGCACTTTAACCTTTTCAATACTTTAACCTTTCCTTTTAGCATTCTTCATTTAAAAAATACACACAAAACAATTTAGGGTGCTAGGAATGACAGCCTCAAGAAGGAGCCCAGGTGGAAGAATGTCACCTTTTTGCTACACATTGAAGGCTCTGTGTCCTGCTGAGGAAGGAGGGGGTAACGAAGCAATGCAGAGGGCAGACACTCAGGGACAAAGAGTCTCATGGTCAAAGAAAAGGGAATACAAGAGGAGCTAAAATAGAGCCAACGCCTCTCAGAAACGGTGGTGGAAGGTAATGAGCAGAAAAAAACAAGTGTCAAATAGTCTCATAGCCACTGACTCCAATCCCGCAGCCCAACGCCTGCATAGCCAAGGCCCTGCTCGTTTATTAAGCTTGCAGGCAAGGAGCTGAGATATGCTTCTGAATGGAAAATTGGGTCTGGCTGTATTTTCTCCCAGAAAACTGTCTCGGCTTGAGTCTAGGACATCTGGTCCATCAACTTGTCCTGCCCAGGGCCTTGCTCTCGGCGCCCTGCTGGAGCCGCAGCTGGTGCCCTCTGCGGCGCCCGCCTCGGCGCGCAGTCTGAGTTCAGCACAGCCCGATCTGAAAATGCGCCCGCCAGGTTAACCCCTCTCGCCCCTGCCCAGGACCCACCTATGTCCCCAGCACAGCCGTCCCTCCGGGAGCTGCTGGGGAAGAGAGACGCGCTCTTGCAAAGGCGCAGGCCACACCGGGCGGAGGTACCCAGCCGTTCCTTAGGCGCGGGAAAGAGTGTGTGCCCCGGGCTCTGCGCCTTATGCCACCCGCTCGCGCTCCCTCAGTTTACCCTGAGGCTCCCTCTCAGGATCGCCAGGGTCCTGGGAGCCTCCTCTCGGGCCGCTCGGGGACCCCACACTATGAGCCCCAGTCCCAGCAGCGCCCCGCGCGGAGCCGCCGCCTGCCGGCCAGCTCGCAGGGCGGAGTGAGCTCGGGTGCTAGGCTGCTCCATACTCCAGCGCGGCTCCGCGTCCCGGGGGAAGCGGCAGGAGGGCAGGTCCGCGGGTGCCGTGCCAGGGGGAGCCGATTTGGGCGCATAAAGCGTCTGCTGCTCTTGGCCCTCTGGTCCGGCGCGGTCCGGGCAGGGGCTGGCTTCTCTGCAGAGCGAGTACTAGATTTCTTCTACACCTGGGGTTGCGTTGGGCCTCGTGCTAGCTATTTATGCCAATATCCTTTAAATTGCTTCTTTTCTCAATTTCTCCTCCGATTCTTCGCATTTTAAAATTATTGGCATGGGTTCTTTTCCTCTCCAGATTATATAAACACTGCGCGCACGCGCGCGTGCACATACACCACACACACACACACACACACACACACACACACACACACACACACGAGTCTTCAGCAGCGATCGCTGTGTTGACACCACTTCCACTCTGTCTCCACAGATCAGTGCTTCTAACGAACCCATTTGCAGGAGGACGCGGCCCTTTCCTTTTCTGGTGAGGCTTTTGAACCTGTCGCCGAGGCAGTACCTTGGAGAGAATGTCGTGCAGTGAGACGCCAGGGATGCGGGGCGCCTGCCCCCAGTTAGATGCTCTTCAGATAACATGCAACCAAGCTCGCTGATAAAATATTTAGTGAAGACCTCTTAAACGCCACTGCGAGTACATTAAGGCACTTCAATCCGACAGCTTATGATTATTTCAAAACTTAAAAAGATCATAGGTTCTCACTGTTCTGTGCTCACCCAAGAAACCGAACCTTCCGGAGGTCGGTGGATGGGTGAGTGAGTTGCTGCTTTTCGCCCCCACTTCTCCCTCTTCCCGCCCACTTTCATCGCTGTGACTCTCAGCAGCAGTGATTTATTTACTTAGGAATTTAAAAAGGTGTATGTTGGGGTGGGGGTCGCCGAGGACACACAGGACCTGCTCACAAAGGACTGGCTCAGGTGTTGTGTGCTTCTGTATTAACTGGAAAAGACAGACTCTGGAACTTTTACAGGGCGAGAAGAGGCCACCAGCTCGCGCTTTGTATACTTTGCACTTGAAATCGTTACATTCAACTGAATATTTGGCTCATTCAGATCCGAAGTCTCCTAGCATCGTCAAATTCCCTCCTCCGCCCCTCAGCTCGAAAGGAGGAAGGGGGGGGGTAGGAAAATGGTTAGTAAATTGCACGTCTTTGAATCTTCCTAAAGCAGTGGTCACAAAGCTTAAAGGTGACACAACAGTGCTCACGTAAAACCAACACACATTCCCCACCCCCCACCCCAAGTCAACAATAAAACCATCCCCTTCAATTTGCCATGATCATCGCGACCAGGAGCCAGGTGATTATCCTAATTAATGTCTATCTAATTAAATTACTGTCAGCAGTTAACCAATGGCAGGAGCCGTTTCATCGGCTGCACAAGCAGCAAGATCAAAAGTGAGCGAGCCTTTTCTGATTGCTGCATAGTGTCAATTGGCCAATCTCTTCTCCCAGGAGAAAAAAAAAAGTAAATCAAACCTTTGGGAAGCATTCGCTGGATGAAGTGCTTTCTGCCTAGTGAGGGGGTCTGTGGATTTCTAGTTTATGATAAATAGGACTTTAAAAATCAGGGACAGGAGGGCGAGTGTTCAGGTTCTAGAGCTATGCAGCTGGAGCACTGCCTTTCTCCTTCTATCATGCTCTCCAAGAAATTTCTCAATGTGAGCAGCAGCTACCCACATTCAGGCGGATCTGAGCTTGTCTTGCACGATCATCCCATTATCTCGACGACTGACAACCTGGAGAGAAGTTCACCTTTGAAAAAAATTACCAGGGGGATGACGAATCAGTCAGATACAGACAATTTTCCTGACTCCAAGGACTCACCAGGGGACGTCCAGAGAAGTAAACTCTCTCCTGTCTTGGAGGGGGTCTCTGAGCTTCGTCACAGTTTCGATGGCTCTGCTGCAGATCGCTACCTCCTCTCTCAGTCTAGCCAGCCACAGTCTGCGGCCACTGCTCCCAGTGCCATGTTCCCGTACCCCGGCCAGCACGGACCCGCGCACCCCGCCTTCTCCATTGGCAGCCCCAGCCGCTACATGGCCCACCACCCAGTCATCACCAACGGAGCCTACAACAGCCTCCTGTCCAACTCCTCACCGCAGGGCTACCCCGCGGCCGGCTACCCCTACCCACAGCAGTACGGCCACTCCTACCAAGGAGCCCCGTTCTACCAGTTCTCCTCCACGCAGCCCGGGCTTGTGCCCGGCAAAGCGCAGGTGTACCTGTGCAACAGGCCCCTCTGGCTGAAATTTCACCGGCACCAAACGGAGATGATCATCACCAAACAGGGAAGGTAAATGCTACGTCCTCGGCTGCCGCTACTCCTGGGGCGGCCGGGGGCAAGTTGTGACCGCCGCGGCTGCGAGGATTCGGGATCGGGAGCCGAGTGGAAGGCGCTCTGGTGCTCCCTAGAGTTGGCTGGTTTTGGAGAAGGGGGACGTGGAAGGTAGAACCACTGCGGTGATGTTGGGGGTGTGTGTGGGGGGTCCCTCTCCAGAAAGGTGGTCGGAAAGGCAGTCAGTGGGCAGAGAAAGGCGAAAGCGAGGGAGAGACCGGGCCAGCGGCCGCGAGTGGGGAGGGACGCCGGGGTGCACGACAGGTGGAAATGCGGGTCGCCAGCCTTGCTCTCCACCTAGGCGGCCATACCTGCCGGCTCCCCCACGCCAGCGCACCGGCCGGACCCCACCCCGGGCTTCGGCCGCGCTTCTGTCCCTTCCCCACCACCCCCTTTCTAACCCCTTTTCTAACCCCGCAAACATTCGCTACCGACGCTGAGCGAACAAGTTTTGCTTTGCTATCTGGCGCAGCGCTTCTTCTAATCTTTAACATTTATGTTTTCCTCCTTGCTTTCTTTCTCTCCCCCCCCCCCTTTAATTTAAATAGGCGCATGTTTCCTTTTTTAAGTTTTAACATTTCTGGTCTCGATCCCACGGCTCATTACAATATTTTTGTGGATGTGATTTTGGCGGATCCCAATCACTGGAGGTTTCAAGGAGGCAAATGGGTTCCTTGCGGCAAAGCGGACACCAATGTGCAAGGCAAGTCCTTCCAATTAACACGTTTTCCTGACACTTACTTAGGTGAGAATGATTAATTAAAGCCTTTGTGGACTGGCTCGGCGACTTTTAAAACGATCGGCCAATGACTTCTAAAAGGAAACGAGGGGGGACAGGGGACAGACAGAAGGGGGAGGATTATCCAAAAGCTATTTTAATAGGATGCCCAGTTAATCGGAAGAAAGCGCGGCCTAAAAAGCCCCCGCTAATGGGCCTCTAGGTGGAATGGAATAAGGTGTGTGTGTGTGTGTGTGTGTGTGTGTGTGTGTGTGTGTGTCCTACGCATCGAGGAGTTGGGACTGGGCAGTGCCCGGGGCATATGTAAACAACATATTTCTTTCTCTAGGAAATCGGGTCTATATGCATCCGGATTCCCCCAACACGGGGGCTCACTGGATGCGCCAGGAAATCTCTTTTGGAAAATTAAAACTTACAAACAACAAAGGAGCTTCAAACAACAACGGGCAGGTCAGTGGCTCAAGCGCTATTCTCTCTCTCTCTCTCTCTCTCTCTCACACACACACACACACATTCGCCCCCTCAACATTCAGTTCATTAGTTAAATCCGCATGAAAAACTGGGTACGTTTCTTTGCTTCATTAAAAAGACTTTTAAAATTATATTTTCACCCTCCAAAATGATATTAAATCATCTATAAAGTTGTTCTCCTCGCCCCCCTGCCCAGTTTCGGAGTTCATGACCTAACCAAGTACAAACACTTGATTGATTTTGAGAAGGAAACCCCCAGGATCTGCAGATTTGAAAATCCTTGTTTCTCGCTCTGGGAGGAAGGACTAGGAGAAGGGACCGAGGCTCGGGTGGGTTCTCCTGCGCTCGGCGGTCCCCGCTCC